CTGTTATCAAATACAAATTTTTTTTAGTTTTAGAGTTTGATTTAGTGAAGTCAAACTTAGTGAATTGCCACGATGCCAAATCTAGCAAAGAATCATGATGAAAATTGAAAGTTTGCATGCTTGCTCTGTCTAAAAAAATGTTTAAGACAGCTTACTACTTTTCAAGCAGATCGAGTATGCCAACTGTACAAGACCAAGATCAATATCAGTGATACTCGGGTACCAAAAGGATTCTGCGAATCGTGTAGAATTACTTTGTGCAGGAAACAAGAGGCAAAGAAGTGGCACTCCCTCCTTTGTTTGATTTTAAGTCAATACAAGTGAGACCTGAAACAAGAGGCACGATGTGTTGTTGCCTAATATGCCTAATATTGGTCGTTCAAAGCTGCAAGAAAAACATCCTCTTATAGAGCAAACCACTATTGAGAAAAAACAAAAGATGGGTTGCAGCAAATGCCTCAGCCTTTTAGGAAAAGGTTTGCCCCACCAATGCTCTCAAATAACGTAAATTCAATCCTTAGCAGCAGAAGATGGCAAATCATCCGAACAAATCGCATCTCGAGTTATTCCAATAAAGAATTATTTCCGGAAGGAACAATTCTAATGGCTAAGGGATCCGGTGGGTCTCCACTTACAGTTACCTCTGGTAAATATTTATACTTAAATAATTTTAACATGCATATTGAAATAAAGTCTTGACTATTAAGAAATAACACTAGAAAGATTTCACAAAGTATATTTTTGACAAGCTTCTAATTTCTTCAAAAACGAATAATTTGAAAGTTTTATACAAACTTACTAAATAAAGTTTATTGTAACTATAAAACATGTATGTTTTGGTTTTAGATCGAAGTAGTGCGCAGACATCATCAAGGGCTCCGAAATTGACCACTGTAGCGCTAGTAAATGTGTTATTAAATATGGGCCTGTCAAACGACGGATTAAAGAAACTTGATAGAACTGTAAACAAAACATCAAGCAGTAAGATGGTTGAGCGAAATTTCTACATGAACTTTCGAAGACTAGGTCAACAGTTGAGCGATTTCTTCATCTGCAGCGACTTAAAAATCACAGACTAAAAACAGATTCTTGTACAGTTCATGTTGTTGCCCATTGCAATGATTTATCAAGCCTTGTGAATCATGTTATTCAGCCCCGCAATATTTCTGGTGGCTATTTTATTAAGCTCGGAATTATTGGTGGCAAAGGTTTTCTCTAGTTTTGCCCAAGCATTGTTGATACTGCGTTAAGGGATGAAACCGGCTTACCGCACCAAACCAACTTCTTACTTAAAGGACTGGTAAAGACACTGGAATCAAGAGACAAATTATTGTTGGGGTTTCAGAAAATTTGCCAGAAACACACTCCAATATTGAACAAATCTGGTCAATGAATAATGCAAATGTAGTGAAACTAGTTTTGGCTTGTGATATGAAAGTTGCAAATATAATTTGTGGTCTTCAAACTCATTCAAGTACGCACCCTTGCACCTGGTGTGACGTCAAATCCAATTGTCTTGCCAAATCTGGAAACTTGTAAATACTGGACTCAATTAATTCATTCCTTGAGCCTTTGCATCAATCTGGCGGGGTTGTTACTAATGCAAAGCTGTTTGACAATGTCATTCGAAAACCAATCATCTGCGGGCCTGTCAATATTCTGATTTTGGAAATCATTCCACCAATGAAATTGCATCTCCTTTTAGGAGTTGTCAACCATCTTATCAAGATCCTGAAAACTGCTAGGATAGAAGCTGTTATGTGGCCAGCCGCCCTTCACATTCAATTGAGCCCGTATCATGGGGGCCAGTTTGAGAGAAATCAATACAGGAAGCTCCTTAAAAATGTGGATATGGTGCAGCAACTTGCTGAGACAAACATGGTTCCCAATATTGTGTGCATAATTGAAGCATTCAAAAGCTTCAATTTTAGTTGTCAAGGCTTGCTTTTGGATACATCCTTCAGCTGGATTTCGCTGAAAAATTGAATATTTTAAAAAGTGTTACCTAATGAAATTCACGCCGTCTTCTACCACATCAAGGATTTCATCAGTCACAAAGGATCCCCCTTGGGACCCTATAGTGAACAAACTGAAGAAACTTCTCATCAAGATTTTTATCAACTTTTGGTCGTGGATTAAGCGAAATAATAATTATCCAGAGTACAAAGAAAGATTGTTGTGCTGCATGACTGATCTAAACAGTAAGCATAGTTAAAGAACATCATTTGAGTTATTAGAAATCAGGCTGCTGAAATCCATATGTTACGGCGTATAATGAATATTTTCATCATTTTTAAAAGTAGTATTATAGAGAATTTGTACTAAAAGAGTACATTGAGCTATTTATTATTAATCTTTTGGTGGAGTTTTGGTTGTTTTGAAAATCAAAAAACATTTCTTAAAATGTAATTAGATATTTGATGGTAATACAATGTAAAAAATAGGGTTTAAATAGATTTCACTTCATTTTAAAAGTAAATGTATTCAAGGAGGTCAATAC